GATTACGATTCATTGCAGACATCGAAGGAGCAGACTTCATCATCATCATTACAGCCCTTCACAAGTCCACTGCTGAACATGGGCCTCCTCCAAGGAATGCAACAGAGCACAGAATCTTCTGAATCTTTTTATCGAATCACGACAATGTTATCGTAAGTAGATTAGATAAGTGCATTCAGCTCAGCAGACATTAAAATCTGGCCTCGGTCGCCGTCCACCAGTTTTGATAACTCCAAGGTCTATTAGATGACCGTATTAGGAAGATTATCCATTAAAGGTTTTTTTGTTTGTTATAGGATAAGGGTGACAAACGAGCACACAGTCCACCTGATGGCAAGTGGTTGCTATGGCCCATACACATCTACATCTATCTTCGATTACGAATCAAAATGCAGATGCGTTTTTACCCGTGAGGACTAAGATGGAGTGCCTCGTTTCCAGTAAAAAGGGTCTCCGGTTCTCTACACTCACTATACGAAACACAGCAGCGTTAAGCTGCTATTTCACGCTGGTGTTCTGTGAGAGCGTGGTCCTTCCCCAGTCGAGCCGACCCATTCGTGCTACAACTATACTACTAATAACTGCAGCATGGCTCTACCACGTTAAAAAAATGATTATTCGGGCGATTAAGGGTTACGAAGGGCTTGTTTTTTTCTTCTTACTCATCAAAACGCTTGCAGCACCTGTAACATCATGGTTGTAGCACGAATAGGTCAGCAAGACCGGGGTCTAGGAGCATGCTGCTGTGTAGTAGTAGAAAAAGTAGGTAGGTGTCTTTTTTTTAAGTTTCTAACGTTAAATCCACTTTCTAAAAGTTTAATTTTTACTGCGATTTGGTCAAGATACCAATCTTGTTAACGTGGTGTTCCTTTCAATCGTGCCGAAGCTATTCGTGCTGTAAATGCACATAACCTAAACATACATCTTAGAACCATTTAATTTTTAACCGAACGTGTAAGCAATACAGAGTTTCAGAATCTGATTTTCCAATCTATACTCATCATGCGCCTTTGTACTATGACAATTTGCTTTTATTTATTTATTTATCCTATATTACACCAACTAGGAGTTACAAAGGGCGAACTTAACGCCCAATGGCATTCTCTACCAGTCAACCCGACGAAAAATGGTATAAGTAAAGATGTTGGCAGGTGCAAATTAAAGACAATAATGAAACATAACTTATATCTAAATATAATTTAAAATTTTGTACAGCCGACTTCAATATAAGTTATTTAAGAATAACTCAATAACCATTGGTCTGACCTTGATGAAATTTATATGGGACCACACGAGAACTATCAGCTTTCATATAAAAAAAGAATCATCGAAATCGGTTCACCCAGTACAAAGTTATGAGGTAACACACATAAAAAAAAACATACAGTCGAATTGAGTACCGTCTCCTTTTTGGAAGTCGGCAGAAAAACAGTTCGATTATACTAAAAATATTACACAATACAATAATACTACGTTTTTGCAATATGCTACGGGTTAAAGCAATAGACAGTCGCCTAGACAACTGGATTATTCCGCCGCAAGCTTAAGTTGTACGCTACGTTAGTTGAGACTTCTGATAATTACGATTCATTGCAGACATCGAAGGAGCAGACTTCATCATCATCATTACAGCCCTTCACAAGTCCACTGCTGAACATAGGCCTCCCCCAAGGAATGCTACAAAGCACGGTCCTGAGCCACCTGCATCCATCGACTTCCTGCATGTCTCACCAGGTCGTCACTCCATCTAGTGGGAAGGGGGGGGGGGGGGTCGCCCTACACTTCACCTACCGGTACGAGGCTGCCACTCGAGAACCTTCCTACCCCATCGGTTGTCGGTTCTTCGAGCTTTATCTATTTTTATAGACAGAGAACACTAAAATAGGAGATGTGCGGCAGCATCTTCAGCCAACTCCCCTGCCAAGCATGGCAACTATAGTGTTAACGTTACAGCCTAATAAAGTCCACTGCTGAACATAGGCCTCCCACATAGATTGCCTCATAGGGGCGATATTTGCCATAGTTGCCACATAGTTGTTGTTAGGATGACGCTGCGGCCCATCTACTCATTTGTTTCCCTACCACACCCACGGGATGATATGGGGTAGTGAATATTCTTACACCGCCACTACACGGCGAATGGTAATTATCAAAAATGGCAAATCTTTCAAGTTGAATGTTTGAACCTGTAGGTATAGACATGACGTAGGTATATACATTATCTAGACTGGAACTGATACCGTGTGATGTAACAAATGTGTATGGGAGAACTCAGCAGATGCTTTAGAAATATTATTTTATTTTACGAGATAGAGGCAAGCTGCAGCTATGTTATTGTTGTAGCAAGAATGGGTCGGCTCGACCGGGAAAGGACCACGCTCTCATAGAATGCCAGCGTAAAATAGGAGCACAATGCTGCTGATTCGTATGGTGAGTGTAAAGAACCGGAGATAGAACTGGATATCCTTTTTACTGGAAACGAGGCATTCCATCTTTACCATCAGGGGTGACAACGTATCTACATTTTGATTCTTAACCAAGGATAGATGTAGAGGTCTATGGGCCTCAGCATCCACTTACCATCACCATACTGTGTATTTCTAGAATAAGGGTGACTAACGAGCTCCTCCCCGCTGTTTCCCTTACTAGCTGTTCAACGCTACTTCGCCCGCGTGGGATTTATTACGATTGAATTTCAAGGGTTTTAATTTTTTACGCGAAACCCTAATTCGTTTTCTAAAATACAAGTGGTAAAATACAAAAATTTGTACAACGGACTTCAAAATAAATTATTAAGGATAACTAAAATACTACTAGTCAGACTTTGATCAAATTTATATGGGGCCACATGAGAAGTACCACCTTTAAAATAAAAAAAGAATCATCGAAATCGGTTCACCCAGTAAAAAGTTATGAGGTAACACACAAATAAAAATAAAGAAAAAACACAGTCGTATTGAGTAGTCTCCTTTTTGGAATTCGGCAGAAATCTGTTATTTCGACATTACAAATCTATAAACAGACACTTCAATTTTATTTATTAGTATAGATTTTGCGACCTTTCCGAGACTTTAAGAGTGTGTTCACCATAAGACATTAAGCAGGAAGCTCATCATCAGTATTATGGCATAAATAACAGCGCGCAAGCTTAGCGGCCCATTACGCGAATCATTTTGAACCAAAGATCCGCTCTTGTTGTTGTTGCAGAGTAATAAAACGAAATATATTCAATTCACAACACACAAAGTTAGCTAATGACGCTTGTGTGAAGCGTGGGGCACCATATAGGCTGAACTAGCTAGCAAACTTAGTTCTGCAGCATATGCTGTAAAAAAGATTAGAAGCCTTACATGTGTTGAAACTCCTCGAAAAGTAATTTCATAATAGAACAATGTATGTAAGCTTTTAGGTCAAAGTCCAAGAATCTTGGACTTATATCTTAAAAGTTTATAAATTTTTTGAGTTGTTATTTTCTGCCGGAATTCCAAAAAGGAGACTGTACTCAATTTGACTGTTTTTTATGTGTGTTACCTCATAACTTTTACTGGGTGAACCGATTTCGATGATTCTTTTTTTATTTGAAAGCTGATACTCCTCGTGTGGTCCCATATGAATTTAATCAAGGTCAGACATTGAGTTATTCTTAATAACTTATATTGAAGTCGGCTGTACAAAATTTTTAATTATATTAAGTACAATTATATGATTGATAATAATCCCTAGGAATGAGGTGAATACAATCATGCTGTTTCTAAATGTTATAATTGTAGGTACATTTGAGATTTGACCGAGGAAGGATCATGTTCTCACTTAGTACCAGTGTAAAATGTCAGCTTACTGCTGCTATTTCAGTGTATTTAGAGATCTGGATATCCTTTTAACTGGAAATGAGGCATTCCATCCTAATCTTTAGGTATTACAATTCATCTGCTTTCTTTATTTTTTAATGGATTAGAGCACAACGTCCACTTACCATTATGTGGACTTTCTGCTTGTTTGTCACACATATTATATTAGAAAACAGGCAACTACTATTTTATCCAATAAGTTTTATATTCTATATACTGAATGTATGTTAAAGTTTTATCAATCAATTTTTTATCAAAAAATTACACCTTACATAACTGGCACAAGGTGTAACAAATAACTTCACTTTTACAATTCTAAATTGAATGTAGGTCACTTGTAATGTAGGTAACAGTCAGAAAAAGAAAACAAATTTAATATTTTATAATTTTACTATATTTTTTCACTCGTAATGCATGAATTTTTCTTCACAAAAAAATCACACCGAGGAGACAATATATGATTTCAGCTTTGCAGTCCACTTTCTACTAAACTACAAACAACACTGAATGTTACCTGGGTACAATAGACCACGGTATGGATTTTCACTACATTAAAACACTTGAAGTGATTTAAATCATTTTACTACTCAGAACCACTCACACTGCATAGCACAAGAACATTCTAAGTCAACATGTTACATAACAACTTTATATTCACATGATTTTAGATAATTCACAGTAAGATTGTTGAATGTGAACATTACATAAGAGCAAGGTTATAATTTAATTTCCAGCATTTATGAAATAAAACTATTACAATGAAAAACAGCATGATTTAGACAGTAACTACAAAATTATTAGGATCAACCTTGACCTCAAACAATGTACAAAGGAGGTTATTACATAACTATCACTGACAGATTTTGTGTACACATAAAAAATAATTTAAACCTCATTTTACATTTAAATTAAGAATTTCGATTAAAACATTCTGAAAATGGCGTTTGTATATTTAATAAAGTCAAGCAATTATGTAACTAAATTTTATTAATAAAACAATACATATTGGAATCAGTGTATGACACTTATTTAACTAAAAATAAGTTACTAATAGTCGTTTTTTGCTTCTAATAATACATGATTTCAAGGGAGTGGCTATTATAGTGACTTGGAGTCACAATTGTAATAATGGTAACAATTTTTACATTATGTTTAGAGTAGCTTCTTGATTTCATCATATAAGACAAGCACGAAGGCACCACCAGTACCTCTGAGGACGTTTGAGAAGGCGCCTTTGAAGAAAGCAGATCCTCCTTCAGTCTTGAAGATGGTTGCCCAGCAGTGTACTGTGTTCTTGTACAGCATGTCGGTCTTGGCGCGGCCAGACTGCATCATCATGCGCCTACGGACAGTATCGAAGGGATACGAGATGATACCGGCGACGGTGGTGACGGTTTGAGCAATAGCCCAACTGATGACAATAGGCGTGTTCTTGGGATCAGGCAACATGCCGCGAGCAGTGTCGTAGAAACCGAAGTAGGCGGCACGGTAGATAATGATACCTTGTACCGACACACCGAAACCCCTGTACAGACCCGTCAGCCCATCAGACTTGAAGATTTTGGTGATGCAGTTGCCGAGACCGCGGAATTCACGCTGTCCATCTCCTTTGCCGACATCTGCAGCGAGACGGGTACGGGCGAAGTCAAGAGGGTATACGAAGCACAGCGAGGTGGCGCCGGCTGCACCACCCGACGCCAAGTTACCGGCAAAGTAACGCCAGAACTGTGTGTTCTTGTCTACACCACCGAGGAACACCTGCTTGTACTTGTCCTTGAAGGCAAAGTTGAGGGCTTGTGTGGGGAAGTACCTGATGACGTTGGCGAGGTTACCACGCCAAAATGAGAGCAAACCCTGCTCCTTGGGAATGCGGACGAAAGCGTCAACGATACCTTTGTAGCGCTGGTCCGCTGCGATTTGCTTGCTGACGTGCTGCACCTGCAGGAGCAGTTTTACACGCTCGATGGGTGCCACCGCGGTCTTGGAGACGGCGGCTGAAATACCACCGGCGAGGAAGTCCTTCGCGAACGCAACCGGATCGGCGAGATTCTTCGACATTTTGTTCAATTAGATGGGTTCTTCACACAGTAATTGCCTCGAGGGCGTCGAAGTGAAGGTTTTATACGGTACACACACTTAATGGAAAAATCACGAAACACGAACTCCCGATTTATATAATCAGGAGATATACAGTAATTTCGTGATCTCGGGAGCACAGGGGTAGGTGTGTGACTTTTTTGAAATTCGATCGATCACGTTCTCTCGCTGTTCTGGCTGAAGGAGCGGCGCAAAAGAAGGAAGGAAGGGGTAGATGTTGCCAACGTAACGGCTCAGTACCACGAGGTCGGGGTGGTAGCTTAACATCTTAATTTTACCCAAATTAAAATGAAATTTCCCTATATTTAAATTATTGAAATCACGGAAAACAACCAAAACAATTATTGGAAATATTGAAATTATGCTAATAACATCACCACATAATTAATTTGTAATAACATTCCTGCAAAAAAGGTTAATCCTGCTCCGAAACCCGTAATATAATAATAAAACATAAAAAAGTAAAAGTTGGAGGAAAAAATGTGCAAAATGTAACTTCTAAGCAGGTAAATTCCTTAAAATTAAGTCTATTGCAATTTTATATAATTTGTAATAATCCACATAAGACGGCGTTATTTATGAATATGGCAATAAGAGCTTCATGATAATTAAATGCGTTTTGTTTCTGCTTAACTTTTAGAAACGATGTTATATATTTTAATTTTTTGCTACGCTTCATTATAATTAATTACAATAATAAAAGAACTGTAATATATTGTTTCTTGCATTTAAAATAAATAAAGGACACATTAAGTCACGTATTAGTGAATTATTAACAATTTTAAAAGGCTGTTTAAGTAATGTTGCCAACTTTGCAATGAATATCTCCAAAAAAGTGCTTAGTCATATGGAATTAATCTGTAATGTTGGTAAGCTACCTGTAAGCTTCAACAATTTTTATCAATATTTTTGGCTTGGATGCTTGTGTTTTAAGCCATGTCTGCATTTCATTCGGAATCTTCGCTTTTATAGATTTTTTTCTTCACAATATTATGATGCGTCACATTGCTAAGTTTTGGGAGATTTTGACGAAAACTCAACCTGGCGGACAGTCGATAACGACATTTATTCAAGTTCATAAGGCGCCTAAGCGATCAAAATAACTTGATGTTTATATCAACATCGAAGCACTTGTTTCGTCGTTTCATCTAATAGATTAAACGCGCAGACAATTACTGCACAAAACCGCATCACTTTTACGTATCAAAATCCACTTGAAACCATTATTTAAGCTATAAAATACTTAGACCATTCAAACAATGGGTTAAAATGGTCTAAGATAAAACGGTTAAGGTTTAAGTTCTAGCCAAAACTCAAGCTTCAACACAATCGTACATAGACATAAACTATGTCAACGAATGTACACTATAGGGTTGTACCTTGACCAGTGGAGTAGCGTGCCTTAGAGGGGCCCTGTATTAAAATTTATCGGGGGGCCCAAATGAAGGGTAAATATTTTTCACAAAAGGAACAAAAACTCTCGCATTGAAGTAATATAATAATTATATATTGATTATAAGTTATTACTTACAATTAATATTCCTATGAACTAAGCTAGCCAAACCATTCAAACCAACATCTTGTCCCATGAAGTCCTTACAATTTTTGCTTACATACGTTCGGGGCCTCTGTAGCCCGTGGGCCCCGTATCATTGATCCTCTAACCTTGACTCTGGCTGGTAGTTTTGAAGAAAAATATGAAGAAACAAATCTATTTCATTTGTTTCTAGGTAGACGTTAAGGTAATGATTTTCCTATTATTCACTAATTCTTCAGAACTATCTCTGGTAATTTTTATTTAATATTACTATTAGTTTCTATTTCGTTGGGGACCCGATTTGAAGGAACCTTATATCTCCATTATCATCATCAGCATTACAACCCTTCAAAAGTTCACTGCTGCACATAGGACTCCCCCAAAGAATGTCACAAAGAACGGTCCTGCACGTCTGCATCTCCTGCGTCCATCGACTTTCTGCATGCTCAACCAAGTCGTCAATCAATTTAGTGGAGGGCCACACAACACTTCGCCTACCGGTATGAGATTGCCATTCGAGAACTTTGGTTCCCGGTCGGTTTTCGGTTTTTCGAGCTTTATAGCCAGCCCATTGCCACTTCAGCTTACTTATCCGTTGGGCTACCTACGAGTATATCCTATATAAGAAACCTTATATAATTCTATATTATTATCACTTGCGCGTGCTACTTTATAATTACTTTAATTAGTAAATGACAAATTAATCATAAAATACCTCTTCGAGGGATTTTGCTATAGTTGACACGCCTGTCGGGCGAGTAGTTAACCGTATTTTCTTATTATTTTGAATTGTTATCAAGAAGATGCTACTGCCCATACCTGTTTCCATTTTTCTCGTCGTCTTTCGACAGCCACGGGACCATATGAGGTAGTGAGTATTCTTACACCACCACTACACGGCACGGAATGAATTAATATTAATTTAAAAAAAAACTCCATGGAAAATTAACACAATAAAATACATTCAATCTTTAAACGGCTTGAATTTTAATGATATTAAAAAGTCTCATATGAAATTTGTATTGGATAACAGTTTAACGGCCTTACATAAAAACTAAAGTTCAGTTACAGTTACTCACGAACGTTATAAATACTGTCATATACTTACTTGTGATCACGTCCAATTATGCTCTAAAAATATTTGTCGATTATTGTTTACATAGAAGTAAAGTAACAGTTACAGCCTCAAACTAATAAGAAGTAATAGCGCAGTTACCCTATATACGTTGCAGTACCGGACACTTTATTATATTGTTACGAGCTTGAGGTTCGGGACAATTAAAAACTGCCGATTGAATTACCAAAATTGACACTTTAATTACACAACACTAATTACAATCTAAAATCACACTAATAATAACACACAGTTCGCCGTTATTTCGCTTCGAAGTATTCTCTTGTATCGCCAATTCAATACTGCCTCGGTCGTGGTCTATACCGGCCTTATATAGGGCCTCAGATAGTTTCCAGAATCTTCTACTGTAGCGACATCTAGAATGTTCGAGTACATTTCGGTCCCGAAATTTCTGGAAGGATCTTGACTCTCCTAGTTCTGCTACTCGACACTAGAGGGCGCTAGTGTACCTAGTGTTGCCATGTACAAGACATTAATAGTGGCACGCAATACTTTCATTTACTCGACACTAGGGGGCGCTAGTGTAACTAGTGTTGCCATGTACAAGACATTAATAGTGGCGCGCAACACTGCCCCCTCCTAAGACATGCTCGTCCCGAGCATTATTGGCCCCATAATAACGCGCCAGTCGATCTACATGGACAATCTTAGGAGTACCTCTGGCACCTTTCTGTATCCGGTAGGTTACGTCATTGATCCTTGTCACAATCCGGTAAGGTCCGTCCCATTTAGCTTGAAGCTTAGGAGATTTCCCTTTGCTGCGAACTGGATTGTGTAACCACACTAGAGAACCTTCATCAAACCCCATGTTGTTTATTTTGCGGTCATACCGTGTTTTCATCTTCTCAGACGTTTGCTGGCCCGTCTGTCTGACGTGCTCATAAATGTCATTCATTTTGTTCCGCAAGTCATTTGCATAATCGGTTATACTGCGTGGGGCATCTGGTGGTATTCCGGTGATCAGGTCTGCAGGCAGCCGTAATTCTCTCCCAAAGTTTGCGAAAGCTGGCGTCAATGATGTACTTTCGTGAACAGCGCTTCGATATGACAACAAAAACGGTTGTATGTGCCTGTCCCAGTCTCGTTGCCGTTTTTCCACAACTTTTGCCAGGTACCTTTCCAATGTCTGATTAAATCGTTCTACCATTCCATCAGATTGTGGATGGTAAGAAGTTGTTCGTGTTTTATGAGTACCCATAACTCTGCAAGTTTCCTGGAATATTTGAGACTCGAAATTCCTTCCTTGATCGCTGTGAATCTCTAAGGGTACTCCAAAACGACAGAATACTTCATGAACTAGTTTATCTGCAACTGTTGAAGCTTCTTGATTTGGAATGGCGAAGACTTCTGGCCACTTAGTGAAGTAATCCATCACAACCATGAAATACTTGTTACCACTTTCACTTTCCGGAAACGGCCCCGCAACGTCAATGGCTATCCTCTCCCATGGTGCACCAACATTGTACAATTTCAATGCGCCTCTACTACGAATTTGAGGTCCCTTTACAGCCGCACAACTTGTACATTTGCGGCACCAGTCCTCGACATCGTCACGACAGTGGACCCAGTAAAACCGTTCTCGGATCTTCAGGAGAGTTCGTTTAACTCCCAGGTGGCCTCCTGAAGAACTACTATGGTACAGTTGTAGAACATCCGGTACTTTAGCCTTAGGGACAACCATTTGCAAATGACATCTGTCTCCCCGACCATTTTCCCATTTACGGCACAGGACTCCATCCTGAATCAGCAAGCTGTCCCATTGGGCCCAATAGCTTTTCGTGGTCGAACTCATTGCTGAGACGTCGCTCCACTTGGGCTTAGGAGCACTGGCCTTCATCCATTCCAGAATCGGCTTAATGTCCGAATCTTCCTGCTGTGCATGTTGAAGGCTGTCCTTCCATTCATTGCTGAGCTGGTCTGTCCTGAATATCCTCGCAGATACCACTTCTTTACCCTCTTGCCTAGTACAATGCTTGCAATCTTCAGGGCAAGGTCTTCTTGACAATGCATCTGCATTGCCATGAGATTTCCCGCTGCGATGTTCGATCACAAAGTCGTATTCCTGCAGTAGTTCAATCCATCTCGCAACTTGTCCTTCCGGATTTTTGAACTGCAATAGCCATTTCAGTGCAGCATGGTCAGTTCGTAAGTGGAATTTCCGCCCTAGAAGATATTTGCTAAAATGCTGCAAGGACTTTACCACAGCAAGCAATTCCCGTCTTGTGACACAATAGTTCCTTTCCGGCTTTGACAAAGACTTGCTGAAGTACGCTATCACAATCTCTTGAT